TAGGTAGATTCCCCATTTGTATACCAGCATTTCTTAGTGGCATGCCAAATAACATCTCATAAGGTGAAATCCCAACATCCCTCCTAGGTTGTGTTCTTATTCTAAACAGGGCTATAGGCAAAGTTTTCATCCAATTCATTCCTGTTTCCAAATATAATTTCGTTAACATAGTTTTAATCTTTCCATTCATTTTCAGGTCTCTGTCTTGCTCCTGTTTTAGCTAGACCTACATATATACTAAAATTGAAATATGTTGGCATTGATGGATCATAACATTGTATCTTCTTGTCTTCTCCCTTACAAACTGAATATTGTGTGTTATTTAATTGACACATAGATTGAAATATACATCCCCTAGGTGCTGGGGTATAATATACCAAGGTTTTAATTACTGCGTTTCCTTTGGTGGCATTCGTAATGCAGGCTTCACATCCTTCTGTTTTTGTTGCTCTCCTATATCGTTCTCCAGTCATAGATCTGGTTTGGACATTCGATTACTGTCGCTTTAAAGGTTCTGGATTTGGAACACAGGTCCACTGTTCTTTTGGTTCAGCTACTGGTCCCTTCACTCGTGTGTAGTGGGTCCACCCTTTTTCTTTCGTCCAGACTGTTGTTTCAGAAGTCAGCAACACTGGAATGGTCCTTCCCACTTAGGTTGCAGTTTTTCCTCCTTTCACGTTCGGATCAGGATCCACTGTCCCACCTCAAACTTGTGGACAGGAAATTTCAAAGGGGGTGTTTAGATCAGCAAGCCTTGTTTCCTGAGATAAGACAAAGCAGAAAACAGCCCCAGTATCTAATTCTTTATAAACATGTCATTAGTTTTCATATTGTGGAATTTCCTACTTGAGATGATTTAAAATCAACTTGAATGCATTGAAATAGCCTCACCATTAGATGTTATAGAGCATTTTATGTATTTGTCTACATATCATATAACCAACCATATATTAACCATAGAAAAGTATCAATTATCCCTCCCCTAGCCATTTCTTTTATCCGTATTTACAAACACATTGCTTAGTAAAGAGCCAACAAAGGAGCGCTCACCAACTCTGCTTGAGTTTGTTTGCATACAAATCTTTATTCAAAACATAGCTCATTTATAATCCCAAAATTTTCTCAACTCCTTCGTTTTAAACAAGGGTTGAATTACCATTCCTTCAGGTCTCCTAGATATTATGTTTTTATCAGTGTGTCCTGCACACAGACATAAAAACATAAAAATAAAACTACAGTATAGGTGTATTCAAGTTCTTCTCATATTTCATTACTATAAGAATGGGTATTAAATTTCACATCCACCCCACCTTCCTCCCAAAGCAGAATTCCAAGCGGAGAAAAAAGTTAAAATGAGCAGCCCCCCCCTTTTCTTTCTGTCTCTCACTCTTAAAGCAACACAGCCAGCTGAAAACGAAGGGGGAGGAATAGCTTTCTCTCCTTCACATGAATTTGCCATAAATTCTCTCACATTCTCCATGGAACTCTTCTCATGCAAACACTTGCTAAAACAATAAAACCTGCAGTTTAAATGGGGGAGAAACTCACTCACACACACACAGAGAGAGAGAGAGAGACAGGATCAGCATATCCATACATTCACTTCCATTCAAACTGCTTGTATAAACACTTTCACATAGGGATATTTCATTTCATACTTTCTCTTGACAAATCAATAACTATTATTATTATTTCAAGGAGCTGTTCAAAAGCCAATGAGCTCCTTTCCCTCCCCTAGTAAAAACTATCTTCTTCTTCCCACACTGAGTAAACTTGCTGTTCTCTCGCGCGTTTAGGGCAATTTTTTTATTTTTTATTTTTTATTTTTTTTTTAAAGTGGCCCTTCATTCCACATCCAAAGCACGTTGTCTCCTTATTCTGGTATCCACCTTGAAATCCTCCAAATTCCCTTCCTCTACTCCCATTAACATACTGGTTCCTTTCATCCCCCCTATATCTTGTCTCAAAGGGACTCTTCTTATCCCCAAACTCTCTTCTAGGAGGTTTTTCCTGCTTCATCACTTGCTGTACTGTTGCTACCATCATTTTACTTTCTGCCTTACTTTCTCTGAATATACACTTTCCTCCTTCTCTGGCTGTTGTTGGGGCTAGGTTCCAATTCCTCCCACCAAATAAAACAACATAAATTGACCATATCTTCTTTATTCAACCCCAACCTCAAAATCTCCCGGTTATAGGGCGGGGATCCCCATCCAGCCAATATTTTGCCCAAAGGGCCATTCGGGTCGATTTTAAGTTTGGGGTTTTTACGGATCCTTTTAACACACTTTTTCCCCGGATTGGTCGACCCTGTATTGCCCCCCATTTCTTTTATGGGTGCTCAGCCTATCTTGAGTATGTGTGCCTATGTCCCTCCCAGCAACTCCTTCTCAATTCCACACGTCACCGTCTCCGGATATTCAATAATATCCCCTTCACTCACTCCGTCCTGCAGACCTCCCCGAGGTCCCTCAAAAGGACTTCCACCCGGCCCCGTTGCCAGTTCTCACATCCACACACTCTATCCCGACCGCCCTGGACTCTTGTGTTCTGGTGTTTTCAAACCAGTACTCACCAGGGTCTGCGCGCAGATGTTACCCGGTCTGTCTTCAGGCTGTTCCGCACTTTATTCACCCTTCTCCTAATACTCGTCTTTATTAAAATTTTACGGGTTTTCCAAGAGCTCCGCAGTCCTCTGGGTGGTTCCCCTCCTTTCAAAAGGAAAGGGGTGCACCTAAGGAGGACCCCTCAGAGTCCCAGCGCAGATTGGATCCCGGACGAGCCCCCAATTTGTTTGTAGAATTCCTTGAAAGAAATTCAGAGACGAGGTTCGGAGTAGCAGAATAAAGTTTCTTTTATTATCAAAAATCAAGTTTAGCAGAAAAGACGGTTTGCAAAGCGTGGTGGACTTAACCATGCACTCACAAGAGTTGCAGGAAAAGCCACACCTCCTACAGAAGCGTAACAGCAGTTATACCCCTCCCTAACTCCTCCTACACCTACGTCAGCTATTCCTGACGTGGCAGGTCACAAACCTATCAGACGACACAATTATCCTACCTTACCTCCTACCTTACCATATATGGGTATTCTTTTGTTCTCTACATGTGGACATTCTCTACTTAGTTTCAGGCACGTACTCATGTTTTCTTGCACATGCTCAGTGAGCCTGTTGCTGAATAGAAAATTTTAAACTTTTCTAGAACCTTCCCATTCAGGAGGAAGGCAGGGAGGTAGACAAAGAGCAGGGCTTCTCAACATGCTGGCTGGGGCATGCTGGGAGCTGAAGTCCACCCATTTTCAAGTGGCCAAGAATGAAACAGCTGGAGGGAGGGAGGGAGGGAGGGAGATAAAGAGACTAGAGCTTCTCAACATACTCGCTGGGGCATGCTGGGAGCTGAAGTCCCCCCCCCACTTTCAAGTTGCTCAGCTTGAGAAACATCCTCCCGGAAGCTGTCAAAGTCAGGATGGGGTGTTTGCCTTCCTAAGTCTGGAGGGGGGGGGGAGGAAGAAGAGTGGTCTTTCCACCAGGAGCCCCTCTCCCCCCTCCTTTCTGAAGATGGAGAAGTGGTCAGCCAGAACCTGGAGCTGCCTTCCACCGCTGCTCATTTCCTGATGAGTAAAAGCGAAGTGGAAGTTAAGGAGAGGGAAGATTCTTCGGGGAGAAACTTTCTAGCCCAGTCTGTATTCAGCCTGTAGGCAGCAGCTGCAGAGGAAAAGGAAGCTAAGAGCACACAGGTGTGCGGGAGGGAGGGGCAGAGAGAGCGGGCCAGTGGGAGGGGGGAGGGAGGGAGAAGGCCAGCTTCTCTGGAGTTGGGGGGGGAGAGTTTTGTGAGGTCAAGCTCTCAGCCAATACTTGCGGAGCTCCTGTGGCTGCAAAGACCACCAGCTTGCCAAGGGCCTGAATTCTGATCCTGCCACCAAGACAGGGGAGGAAACCAGGCTGCACCCCGCCCTCTCCCCGTTCTAAGCGAGGGATTAGGAGTTCCTTTTCTTTTTCTGCAGATGAATGTTTTAGTCGTGAAGTCAGGACTGCACAGGGCTGTGAGGACTCGGTGGCTTGTTGCAAGGGCTTGCCGTTGTCTGACCCTTCACGGGGCTTTGCGAAGTTGGGGGTTGGCAGATCTCCCCCCCCCGGTTGATTTAGAGCTAAGAGCAGAGCCTTGTGGTGGGGCTGCGCAGAGGAAACAGCCTGTAGTTTTCCGAGAGGGCTGAGAATGGGCTACTTGCTGCCGAAGGAAAACAGACCCATGATCCACAGCTTGACCGACAAGCATGGACTAACCTCTGCCAACGTGGGGACCAGGTCACTCTCCAGTCGAGCCCCAGAACAAATCTTGCCTCTTTGGCCAGGAAATATGGATCTCTCCTGCCTAGAACATAGAATCGCAGGCTGGAAGGGACCTCGGAGGTCTTCTAGTCCAACCCCAGCTCAAGCGCTTTGCAGAATCATAAAATGACAGAGCTGGAAGGGACCCTAGAAGTCTTCTAGTCCAATCCCGTGATCAAAAAGGAGACCCTTGCAGAATCACAGAAGGAGGTAGTTGGAAAGGACCTTGCAGGTCTTCTAGTCCAGCCCCCTGCTGAAGCAGAACCTCTACCATCTCAGACAAGTGACTGCCTCCTCTCTTCTCAAAAACCTCCAGTGATGGAGCACCCACGATTTCTGGAGGCAGGTTGTTCCGCTGGTTAATTGCCTTCACTATTAGGAAATTTCTTCTCAGTTCTAGGTTGCTTTTCTCCTCGATCAGTTTCCATCTGTCGCTTCTTGTCCTGCCATTCTTCTCCTATGTCTTAAGTCTCCAGGCCTTTGATCATTACATTGGCCTCTCTGAATTGGCAAGTCTGAGTTGCTTCGAGGCCCCGCCCTTTCCTGTCAGCAAAAGTGAAAGTGGGAATCAGAGAGGTCACACCCTCACCCTAGCCAGGCTGCAAGAAGACTCCTTGGGCAGCTTCCTAGCCCGAATCTGGCAACGGGGCTTGTCACAGCTTAGGCAGCAGCTGCAAACGAAGGGGAAGGTAAGGGGACTCAAGATATTAGAAATTTCGTCTCGGTTCTAGGTGGCTTCTCTCCTCGATTAGTTTCCATCTGTTGCTTCTTGTCCTGCCTTCTGCTGCTTTGGAGGATGGGTGGACCCCCCCCTCTTCTTTGGGGCAGCCCCTCAAATACTAGAATTCTGCTATCATGTCGCCCCTTTCTTTATTTTCTTTACGCTAGCCAAACCCAAGTCCTGCAGCCGTTCTTTTCGTAAGTCTCCAGGCCTTTGATCATTAAATTGACAAGTCTGAGTTGCTTCGAAGCCCGGCCCTTTCCTGTCAGTGAAAGTGAAAGTGAAAATCAGAGAGGTCACACCCAGACTGCAGGAAGACTCCTTGGGCAGCTTCCTAGCCCGAATCTGGCAACGGGGCTTGTCACAGCTTAGGCAGCAGCTGCAAACGAAGGGGAAGGTAAGGGGACTCAGATATTAGGAAATTTCTTCTCGGTTCTAGGTGGCTTCTCTCCTCGATTAGTTTCCATCTGTTGCTTCTTGTCCTGCCTTCTGCTGCTTTGGAGGATGGGTGGACCCCCCCCTCTTCTTTGGGGCAGCCCCTCAAATACTAGAATTCTGCTATCATGTCGCCCCTTTCTTTATGTTCTTTACGCTAGCCAAACCCAAGTCCTGCAGCCGTTCTTTTCGTAAGTCTCCAGGCCTTTGATCATTAAATTGACAAGTCTGAGTTGCTTCGAAGCCCGGCCCTTTCCTGTCAGTGAAAGTGAAAGTGAAAATCAGAGAGGTCACACCCAGACTGCAGGAAGACTCCTTGGGCAGCTTCCTAGCCCGACTCTGGCATCGGGGCTTGTCACAGCTTAGGCAGCAGCTGCAAAGGAAGGGGAAGGTAAGGGGACTCAAGATACTATGGGGCAGAGAGAGGGCCAGTAGGAGCGGGAAAGGGGGGAGAAGACCAGGCTTCTCTGGAATTGGGGTGGTGGTGGTGATGGTGTCGGAGGCCTGTGTGGTCAAGACCTCCCTGCCCACAGTGGGGTGGGGGGGTTGCGACGCTCCTGTGGCCAGAAACATCGCGACACTGCCCAGCCCCAGGATTTTGATCCTGCCACAAGCCCAGCAGAGGAAAGCAGACTCTGCTCCTCTTCCTGCTGTAAACAGATTCATTCGGTTACGCAAATTTCTCTTTCCTTCTTTGCAACTCAGTTAGCTAGAACAGGCACGGGTTTGACGTGCCTGAGCTAGAAAGATTTGTGCCCTCAATTAAGAACAGAACAGAACAGAATAACAGAGTTGGAAGGGACCTTGGAGGTCTTCTAGTCCAACCCCCTGCTCAGGCAGGAAACCCTACACCATTTCGGACAAATGGCTGTCCAGTCTCTTCTTAAAAGCTTCCAGTGTTGGAGCATTCACCGCTTCTGGAGGCAGGTGGTTCACTGCTTAATTGTTCTCACTCCTTGATTAGTTTTGATGGGTCATATACAGGTAGTCCTCTAGTTATGCCACAGCTGAGCCCCAAATTTCTCTTGTGAAGTGAGGCATACGTTAAGTGAGCTTTGCCCCATTTGATGATCTTTCTCACCTTGGTTTTTAAGTGAATCATTGCCGTCGATAAGTTAGTCCCTCAGCCGTTAAGTGGATCCGGCTTCCCCAGTTGATTTTGCTTGTCGGAAAGTCGCGAAAAGGGATCGGGTGACCTTGGGATCCAGCGACGGTCAGAAATAGGAGTCTGTTGCCAAGTGGCTGAATTTTGATCACGTGACCCTGGGGACACTGCAACGGTCATTCAGTGTGTAAAATGTTCCTAAATCCCTTTTCCCGGTACTGTTCTAACTTCATACTGCACTGTTATAAATCGGGGATTATCTCTGCTCCCTCTTTTGTGCTGACTAAGTGGGCTGAACTCTCTCGTGGCATGACGTCTCCACTTTGCAACACGGAAAAAACTAACCCGGCCATTTGATGGGGCCGATCCGTGCCTTGGCCATCGCTTCCTGTTTGAGGTGTGTCCGTTCTGAGTTCATTTCCCCTGGAAAGAACCAATTGGTGTTCCTGTCTGGTCCTCTTATTGTTAGGAAGAAAGGTCGTCCCACCTCAAAACTGTCCCTGCCCCACTGCTCCGGACAGAGGGATCCTTACTCCCCCGATGCAGGATGGGCACCTCTGCCCATGAAGGCACCAACCACCTTCAGAGGGTGGAGCATGATCTTTGCCCACTGCCTGAACCCTGGGGGAGTAGCGGATCTGCCTGCTGGTCCCATAGCCCTTGTGACAGCCACGTAGGTGGTCTTCAGACTTTGAGGGTCTGTGAGAGACACAGGGTGAATATCATGGCCCCGTCAGAGCCCAGGTCTGAGGAGGAGGAGGATATGGAGCCAGGGTCAGTGCACGGGGATGGTGCAATCTCTATGGCTCAGGAGAAACGACCTGAGGACGAGGCAGGCGCAGGTCCCTCAACCCTCGGAAGAGTAGGCACGGAGGAAGAGAGGGCACAGGCTGATCGAGAAAGGCAGAGTCAACCCACGGCACCCCAGCTATTCGGGAGTACGGTTCCCAGCTCCTCACAAGGTTCACCTGGAGAGTAACGTTTAAGGAGGCGCAGTGAGGAGGGATTTTTGCCAGGAACAAGTGTTTGTCTTCAGATCACAGTTACGCCTTACTTTAAGAACTGCTTTCACTCTGTGCGTCAACGACTGGTGAGGGCTGTTCTTGGCTTGCCCTGGCCCTGATGATTCTCCCTTCAGACCTGCCTTACCTTGGGCCCCATCTTGCTTTGAGAAGGGCTCTTTGCCTTTTGGGTTGAATTGGGCCCTTGTGGTGTGAATTGCATTTGCCTTTTGTTTCACTGTGCCTTTTGGAAGTTGCTCCTTGTCTTGCACCTTTGCCGTGCTCTGAGGACTGCCCTTGCCGTATGCCTGGAACTCTGCCTTCGGGCCTTGCTGGATAATCTATAGCAGTGGTTCTCAACCTTCCTAATGCCGCGACCCTTTAATACAGTTCCTCATGTTGTGGTAAACCCCAAGCCTAAGGGCTCTCCAAGCACGCAATGATGCTGCCTGATCACCCACCGCGCTCGGGGCTCAGCGCTCCTCGTCTGTCCTCGCCGCACTTCCGAAGGTCGCCGACCTGCCCAGCTCCAGCTGACCGGGGAGGGGGGGCAGGAAAGCCGCTCCGCCGGCTCCACCCAGCCTGGTTGGAGAAGCGCCCAGGCAGGGAGACAGAGAGAGAAGCCAAGAGGGCAACAGCACCGGCAGAGCCTAGTTCAGCCTCCTCCGCCGACAGGGCTGCGAAGCAACGCAGCCTCCCTTAGGAGATGCTCAACGTAAACGAATCCGGTGCTGCAACGGCCCCCAGCTCGAAGCTGTGCGGAGACGGATAGAGGAGCAGTGTCTCGCTTTCTAAGACCATCGGAAATATGTGTTTTCTGATGGTTTTATGCGACCCCTGTGAAAGAGTCATTTGACCCCCAAAGGGGTCGCGACTCCTCGGGTTGAGAACCGCTGATCTATTGGCTGTTGGTTGGGGGACTGACTAGTCAGTGGAGGGCCATTTGTTTAACCTTCCCAAGAGAAATAAAGAACTCTCTGGAGGGCTGCCTGGTGTTGCCCACCTGGGTCCTAACAGTGAAGGTATCCCCTTCCCAAAACTCTTTACATGGGTGGATTTGGGGAGCAGGTAAGTGGCACTTGTTGGTTAGTGTGTGGGATGTAGGCTGTGCGGACTTCTCCAGTGGCCCTTCTGCTACCCGAAGCATCTGGGGGTCTGTGAGAGACACACACCCTTCCCCAAACTCATTATCGGTGTGGCCTGGAGTGCACCCAATGGCACTTTTTTGGAACAGCTTCCTAAGAGTTGTTGGGGGACACTCCTGGTTCAGGGAGGGACATGCACTGTCTCTCCCCCCTCTTGGTCAGTCTCTGCCTCCTCCAAGTGGTTCTTCTCTCTTGCAGGAGCAACACGCAGGAGCTGAGCCTGGCCATGGCTGAAAACATTGTGGAGACCCCAGCCCTGGGCCGCCCCTTCCAGCTGGGGATGCTGTACGACTGCCGCACGGATGTGCTCATCCCAGGTAGGAGCTGGAGGAGAGGCCGAAGGGTAGGCAGCCCCTGCAGGATCTCTAGAGGGGGGGAGAAGGGCACCACCATCGATTCTCCAGCACAGCACAGGGTCACTTCAGGCCTCGGCTCCTGGATCTACAGCCTGCTGATAACGGCTATCTGGGTAGGACCTGCCTGGAATGCGTATCCAACCCTTTGGACAGGCACACAGCAACTTTCCTCGGCTCATAATAAAGTCTCTGAAATGCTTTGGAAAATGATTACAAAAGGAGTTGAGGTCCTACCCGGGATAGTGAAGTGAGGGATATTAATTCTAAAGTTGTGGTGCTGGTGCTTTTCTGGGGGGGAGGGAGGTCTGAACACAGAAGGCCCCTCTGAACCCCTGATGAAAAACATGATTTCTCCAGGGAGTTGGAAATCTTTCTTGAAATCAACAGGTACATAGAAGTTCCCATTCCTCTCTACTCAGTCAAAAGCTTTTTGAGTTTCTGGTAGTTTGCAAAACTGCTGGGTGATGACCAGGCAGAACAAATGAGGTCACCATCCAGGAAAAATGATATCTCTATTGTCTCAGCATTCTGGGGCTTCTCTAGGCGTTTCTAAGGTCTCATTTCACGTTTATCTTCCTGTTGTCTCTTGTTCCGTGCAGGCGTCACCCTTTGGGACTACAGCTCTCTGCAGAAGGACCTGACCATCAAGCCTCAGCCCAAGACGGAATCGATAATCATTGCGTCCGACAGCATTGATGACAAGGCCTCCGCCCTGGACATTTCAGGATCAGCCAAGTATCTTCATGATACCAAGAAGTCCAAGCAACAGGCCAGAGTCACCGTTAGGTACAAAACCACCACCAGGTATGAGCAGCTGACAATGAACCATCTAGGAACCCAGAAAGTTTCCCATCCAGAAGTCTTTGAGCATGGCACGGCCACCCATGTGGTCACTGCAATTCTTTTTGGAGCCCAGGCTTTCTTTGTCTTTGACCGAGAGGTTTCTTCAACAGAGATGATAAAAAATATAGAAGGAAACATCCATCTTGCAATCAAGAAGGAGATATCAATCATGGGAGAAGCAGAGGCCAAACTAAACAAGGAGGAGAAAGAGAATGCTCTGAAGTTCAGTTGCACGTTCCATGGAGATTTTTCTCTGGAGAAAAATCCAGTCACTTTCCAAGATGCCATGAAAGTTTACGAAACTCTACCAAAAATGTTAGGGAAAGATGGGGAGAAGGCTGTTCCTGTGCGGGTCTGGCTCTACCCGCTGACCAAGCTCAACACCAGAGCAGCTAAGATGGTCCGTGAGATCAGCCTAGAATTGGTCTTTGATGCTGAGAAGATCTTGGAGGAACTCAACGAAATCCAGATGCAAAGCAATGATCTAGCCAACGATCCCATTGCCGAGACCTTCCCTGAGATCAAAGAGAAGATCCAGCAGTTCAAGGATCTGTGCAAGCAATATAGGCAAACTTTCCAGAAACAGCTGGCCAGAGTGTTACCTTCCATCCGGGGAGGAGGGCAGGAGGAAGGGACCCTGGTGGACATCTTGACGTCCATCAACCGGTCACCCTTCAATAGCCAAAGACTCCGTGAATTTCTAGACACCAAGAAAAGAGAAATTAACTTTGTCAAATCTTTTCTGACTATTTTAAATAAGATACAAATTATCTCATCTCAGAACAAGTTGGAAGAAATAGTTCTCGACCCTCAGAATGGATACGTGGTCTCCTTTATATTCACTTCTTTACACGAAGAGGAGCCGTTTCTGTTGAGCTTACGGGACAAGCTTCAGGAGCAATTCTTGCAAGAATCAGCTACGTCCACCAGATCCACTCCTGGGGTGAAGAAAGGCAAGGCCTGGTTTGAGGACCAGGAGAGGACCCACAATGCTCGCCAAACGGCCAAATCCATGAAAGACTTTTTCACTGTCAACCAATCGACTGAGAAGGTCCGCTTTGTCGTGGCCTCACTCCCAGATGTGGAGACCCCAGGAGCCTCCATTTACCTTTATGAAGACAGAAGCCTGGTCAGCAAGAATTTGAGTTGCCCTCAAAACCTCTCCCTTTGCAGATTACTGAACGGAGACATAACAGCATTCAGCTGAAGTTTCAGCCAGCTGAATATGGAAAGGCTGCCATCTCCAGCTATCTGGCAGAGTACAAGATTGCAGGGGAAGAAAAGTGGAAGACCGTGAGGACAGAGGACGCCCAGGAGATGTTCCTTTTGAAAAATCTGCCATCAAACACAGAGTACCAGTTCCAGTATGCTGCTTGTTGCAAGCTTGGATTTAGTAAATCCAGTGACCTGAGCCCACCCATAAAGACCTTTCCCACCAGCCCTCCTGAGAAATTAAGAACGGTCACTGCAGCATCTTCTGTCATCTCTGTGGCCTGGATGAATCCCAGCATCATTGCCTCAGGAGTTGTGGTCAAGGAGTACAAAGTGGAGTACAGAATGGTAGAGGCTGGAGTTGGGAAGGACCAGTGGACTGGAAAAAGGACTGGGAGAAAAATAGAGTTTTACCCCATCGAAGGTCTGAAGCCCCAGACGGCATATAGAATACGGGTGTCAGCCGTGTGTGACAATGGAGCTCTGGGTGTCCCCAGTGAGGAGGTGGAAGTCTCCACATCACTGGAGGAAGAAGATGCACGCAACGTCGCCCACCAGTTCTTTCAGGGAAGCTCCCCGATGGAGGACACACATCCGTTAGTGTTCGCTCTTCCTCTGGAGAAAGTCCCCTCAGATGCCTCCACCTCCTGTCTCATATACCAGCTTGGAAAGGAGAACCCAAAAGTGCCCAACAAAGTGATCCTGATGATGGGAGCAACATGGTCTGGGAAAACCACACTGATCAACGGGATGATCAATTATATCCTGGGCGTCCAGTGGGGAGATAATTTCAGATTCAAACTGATTCACGAAACCACCCCGAGAAGCGAAGCTGGAAGCAGGACGTCTGAAGTCACTGTCTATGTGGTGCACCATCAGGAGGGTTTCCGGATTCCCTATTCTCTCACAATCATTGACACTCCAGGATTTGGAGGCAAAAGAGACGCAGAGCAAGACAAACTGGTTGAGGAGCAGCTCCGAGAATTTTTCTCCGCCCCAGGGGGCATTGACCACGTTAATGCCACTTGCTTGGTGGCCCAGGCCTTCCTTGCCCATTCAGTTCATGCCCAGAAATGCGTCTTTGATTCCATGCTCTCCCTGTTGGGAAAAGACGTGAAGGATAACGTCCAGCTCCTGATCACCTTTGCTGATGGGGGAACCCCACCTGTCCTGGAGGCCCTCAAGGAGGCTGACCTGCCTTGTGATCAGGACAAGTCGGGAACCCCTCTGCACTTCAGATTCAACCATTCAACCCTTTTTAGTCATGGAAAAAGTGGAGGAAGCCATCGTGCTGTTGCTGAAATATAGTGGAAAATGAGCGCCGAGAGCATGAAGAATTTCTTTGACTCGCTAATGTTGCTGGAAGCCAAAAGGTTAACCTTGACTATGGAAGTCCTCAAGAAACGTCAGGAGCTGGAAGCTGCTCTTAGAAGACCTCCCCCTCCCAAGATTGAGCAAGTGCACCCAAATAGTTTCCAGATCGGTATTGATCCAGTCGCCATTGGGAAGCATTCAGTCTCTAGGTACCAGGTGGAATATCGGATTGCAGGGCAGAATTGGAAGAGTCTCCATACTGAAGGCCCTAAAGATCAATTCACTTTGCAAGATGTGCACCTAAATCTTCAGTACCAATTCCGATGTGCAGCTGTGACTGAATTTGGGCTCGGTCAATGGAGCAAGGAGATCACTTGCATCTATCCTAGGGGGAGGCCTGCAGAGGTAACTTGACACCTTCTTTGGAGGAAGAGCGGGGGAGGAGGAGCACAAGGAGGCAGTAGAATAGGGTGATACCAGTTTTGGGTGCTCCATCACTGGAGATTTTTGAAGATTTTTGGCATTTGCAGCAAAGAAACTCCAGGGAAATTCTTTTACCAAGAGTTTAAGTTTCCTGATAGATCCATATAGGCCAGTGGTTCTCAACCTGTGGGTCGGGACCCCATTTGGGGTCGAACGACCATTTCACGGGGGTCGCCAAAAAACACAGTCCGCCATTTTTTCCCCCTTTTCCTTAGCTGTGCTACTCCCTTTTATTCTATTGGCTTTTGAAAGCCAATAGAATAGACTCTCTTGAATAGAGTATAATTCTATTGGCTTTCAAAAGCCAATAGGAATTGTCCAGGCTGTCTCTGCCCTGCTGAGCCCGCCAAAATTCCCATTCTGCAAACGGTGCTGCACCAGTTGAGTAATCCTCAACTTACGACCGGTTGAGTAGTCCTCGACCTACAGCCGGTTGGGGGTCGCGGCATTAAAAAGGTTGAGAACCACTGATATAGGCACAGTAGAAGCAAAGCTAGTTTTCAGGTTTTGCCATTAAAAACAGCACAGCAATAATCCCCCCTTTCCTCCCCGGGCCACCCATTGTCCGTTGTCCACCAATCCAGTTCAATCATTGTTTTGGGAAACACCTTGAGGTGCTGGAAACTTTCTCAGGCCACAACCCGTGCACCTACATTCCTCATTCCCCTCCCAGCCACCCATCAATTCCAATCATCCCCTTCTGCCCTCCCTAGTTTTTGTTGTCTGGTGGTAAGGTTTGCAAAGCGGATCAGCCATGACGCACGAGGCCACGGGAGCCGAGTAGGAGAGACTAGTCTCTGACCTGATGGAGACAGTGCCGGTGGCCGAGGGCCGTTTTGCAGAATGGAGGGAGCGACTACAAGCGTGAGGTCCATCCTGTGGGATGTCACAGACAGGGCTGAGTGGGAAGACCACTCGGGGAACCTGCTGGAGGGGGGGGAGATCTGATCCAAGTCAGGTCCTTTTTTAATCCCCCTCCATTTCTTGCTTGACTTCTGGGTGAGGTGAGTTCTTAGCAACCTGAGCAATGCAGCCTCTCCTTTGGCTGATTCTGTTTTGCTTTTCACGCAGAAATCTCAGGTTATCTGCTGTGCGGCTGGTGTGCGTATGACTGTAAGCATCCAAGGTAAAGTCTTGGGTCCTGGGGTTCAGGTGGGGTGGAAGCTACTGTTCTGGGTGGGGGGGGAACAAGCTATGACGGTCGTACACTGCTGACCAGTCCCCTTCTTCTCTCTTCTCCCCTTTGGGTTGTAGGGTCTGAACAGAGGATCGTCCTTGTGGGCAAAAGCGCAAATGGGAAAAGTGCAACGGGAAACACAATTCTGGGAAGCAACGTCTTTAAAAGTTCCATGTCACCTAGATCAGTAACAACAGCATGTCAAAAGGAGGACACACAGCTAAACAGCAGGAAGGTTGTGGTTGTTGATACGCCTGGCTTTTTCGATCCCAGTCTTCCACCCAACTACGTTGTTGCAGAAGTGAGGAAGTGCGTGAAGTTTTGCTCCCCGGGTCCCCACGTCATTCTGCATGTGATGCGTCCTAGTCGTTTCACTCAGGAGGAGGAGCAGGTGCCTCAGCTGATCAAAGAGATTTTTGGCCTTAAAGCCAAAAATTACATCATCCTTTTGTTCACACGCAAAGAGGATCTGGAAGGTACCTCTATCGAAAATTTCATAGCTGTATGTGATAAAAAACTGCAGCAATATGCTGCTGAATGTGGGAACCGGTTCCTGGCTGTCAACAACAAGGCCGAAGGGGCGGAACGAGAGGCTCAGGTGGCCGAACTGATGACCATGATTGATCGTCTGGTAGAAACGAACAAAGATGCTCCTTATTACACGGAAGAGATGATGAGCTTCAACGAAAGACACAACTGGTTTTTCCCCCTTTCCAACAGAGGCCAGAAAGTCTCTTTAACTGAGCCTCGACTCCCAAGGTAGCAACTCTACCACAGCCCTTCCG